TCTATCTTCTCTCTGCTCTGCCACCAATTCTATTCTTAACCTGGTTATAGTTATCCTTTCTCCTTCTCTATGGAAAAAAGTGAAAAGAACAGTTTAAATTAACCAGCTTTAAAGCATATCTGAAGTCATATAACATTGCCACGTAGTGATGTGACGAGTATCAACTAATAAATCAGATTACCACTTAAGATATCCAAATAAACTAATATTCCTAACAAATGCTTTGTCCAATATTCAGCTATAGCTGGGACACAATAAGCTTAACGACATCCACCTTCATCACCAAAGCATATACATAGAAATCAAATCAAAGTTATTTTATCACATAAATGACACACAAGTAATGATCATATAAAGCAAAAAGAAAAATAGTGTAAAGGTAAAATTTAGCTAAGGGTATTTTAGTATTATCACATGACAAAATGGCTAAAAAAGATGTTTTTTATAAAACATGACCAATATTTGTGTTTTGTAAATTTATATGGTCATTTAATGGTATTAACACATAACATTATGTGTTTATTTTTTCACGTACAGCGGCTTGATTATGCTTTATTTATGTCTTAAATGTTTCAAAAAGAAACGACGACCAGACCTTGAGACTGGCGGCATCACGGAGCCACTTCTAACGCCGTCCATCTCTCCAGTACAGCCAAACCTTGACGAGACTGACGTCATCACGGCGCCACTTTTAACGCCGTCAATCTCTCCACAGCAAATGGTTGCCGGTGACCTTGATGAGATCACGGCGGCGGCGGCAAACGTAACGCTGTCCATGTCTCCACATGAGCCACCACTCCAGGTTGTAATAAAATTGAGACTTGCTATAGACTCTATCTCTCTCAATCAAATTGTTCCTACGTAATTGTTTTGATGTCACGACGGTAAATTCGATCTTACCCCTAGGGACACTGCAGTCAGTCCCTAGGGGTCCTTGATTTACACAAAACACACACACACACCCACATGGGTGTGTGTGAAATTAAGGGTGGTGGGGCCATGACTGCACTGCCCCCACCTGTAGGATCGAATTTTCGTGTCACGACATGATTTTATGTTGAACGAAATAAATTGGTGATTTTTTCTTTTTATGATGTTTTTATAAGTTATAGTACAATTTATAGTTCTTCGCAGATTCTTCATTTTATAATCACCTTCCTGTTTTTATCTTTGTATTAATTAATTCCTTCTTAATGAGTAGTGTTTTTGTGTTTTTTTTTTTTTTGGTATAATTACACGTATCTTAACACTAATCCTAATTTTAAGTGATTATCTTCAATGATAGTATTTTTTTTGGGTATAATTATACGTATCTTAACAACTAATCCTAATTTTAAGTGATTATCTTCAATGTAATTGATTGTTGTTCC